AGGAAAACAGTAGTGGGGATTGCTCTGCAGCAACCAATCAAATTTGGCGATGAGGGGTGAAAAAACAGTTCGAAATCAGAATTGTGGCGAATCGAGAAACGTTCATCATACAGACCTAACAGAAAACCATAAAGTATCCTTGACTGGGAGACGGATCACCGTCAGCCTTCCATGGTGGAAGTGCGCTGGACTGACGACGAAACGCCTCCTAATCTGGTGTATTTGTGCTCTCCAGTCACCAATACATACAATAAAAATCTAGTCACAACGAATGAAAAGTCTGACAATTCAATGTTCACAAGCAAGAGAGGGCAAGGCATCATTAATAATGACACAGCTTCATCTCCCACACACCTGGTCAGTTATGAGCCGTTGACGCACTGCCATCTCGTGCATCTTACTTCGTGATTTCAGCTGTTGCTGCGCTGCCGACAGACTATTGATCATACCTGTAAACGCTTTCCACAGATTGCGGGCTACATCCTCAGAACAGCAGAACTGCCACTTTTGAAAGAAAGTTTAGCATTTACACTCCATCACCGTACCATTACTGCCAGCAAAATGGGGTGGGTTGCAAGTGCCATAAACTACATTGGTCATCAACATTCCTCCAGCAGGAGAGCTACGCTCGGAGGTTGGTGGTGATGGAGTGCGATCATCGAGAGCTGAAACGACGAATTCACGGCGATCTAAAAGCGTATGATGCAATCAAAAACAAAGACCTACTCATTCAAAATCAAAAGTACGGACAGGAAGCAACTGACCATCAAAAAATGTTATGGTTTCTTGTGGTCCCACACCGTTAAAAGGTGTCATGGGAGGCTGCCCGTGATGAATCGAAGAGGAGAAACCTGGCTGATGAGTTTGCTGGTGTTGGTTGCGTTGATCACGCTGAAAACATTTCCGTCATACCAGCATATTTTTTTAAACAGCCGCAACACATGCCTGCGGATGAGGAGTCATCTGGTGCGAGAAGTGACTGACTGGTGGCAGTGGACTGTGCTGCTGAGTTATACTACCAGATGACAGCATTTGCCCGAACGGGCTTCTGAAATCAGAGACGTGAATCGCTCCCGTTATACATTAGGAATACGATTAACAAGCTATTATTTCAGAGTGATGTCATTCAGAGATCATTGTACAGCTTCACTATCACTGCTTACCTGGTTTCCAAAAAGTTAAAAACATAAATCGTACGACAACGATCAATCTCTCTCAGAGAAGCGCCACGCACTCTATTATACTTGGGATGAAAAAGTCTTGAGCCGATTTTTTTTTCGAAAGTTCCAGATCTGTCAACTATTGATCGGTGTTCTGCCACGTGGCAGATCATAGTTATCGGTCATACTTCTCCCATGATGTCAATTTCGCAGAATCGCGTTCCAGCGATTGTCTTCTATGAATGGCGCCGCGACACAGGAGCGACGGAAGACCTCCACAACATCAACAGCGTTTGGGAGAGGACAGCACTTCCTATCATGACTTCGGAGGGCCTGTTCACTCGCTTCAAAGAGGAGACACGGTGTGTAATGACAAGGCGCCAACGTTGGGACACCCTCAAACAGTGGAAGACTCCACCACTCTGGTGGCAGTCAAAGAGGATCCGGAGGTTAGCATCCGCAGCCTTGCAAAAAGGCCCAGGTGTACATTCTACAGGCCTTGATCGCCTCCGCGAACTTGGTCACAGGAAGGCTTCACTCGAGGGATCCCTATGTCTTTGACGGCATTGCATACGCATTCAGGAGGCTATCCATTTGCCAGTCTCCTTCTCCGCTCGCACCAAAAAAAAAGTTTCTGGAAGACTTGATAACCACGGGAGATGGGAGTTGGGTCCTATACAATTCTAATAAGCACCGCGCCGTGTGGCTCTCTCGAGGAGAAGACCCACCGACAAGCGAGATCGGATCTTCACCTCGAAAAGTGTCTTCTTTGCTGTTTCCAGAATTTGCGAAGAATGTTGCGAGCGCTGCTCCCGCAGGGGCACACAGTTACCGGCAGCAATTACGCCATCAGCTCCAGAAACTAGCGCATGCTGTTCGAGAAGAACGAGTGAGACAAACTTCTGTTCACCTAATGATAACGCCAGGCCCCACATAGCTAAAGAGACCTCGTGCAAAATTGGAAGTTGTACTGGGACGACGGCTCCCCACCTACCCTATTCCCCTGATATGCCCCTTCTAACTATTGCTTATTTCGCCTCCTAAAGAAAAAATTTCACCAAAGTTGAAGACGTTTGAAAGAGCGGTCAGCGATTTCTTTGACTCTCAGTCTACTCAGTTCTGGGAGAAGGGATCGCTGACCTGCCCATTAGGTGGGACTCTGTAGTGACTAACAATGGTTGTTGAGTAAATTGTATGCTAATATTGTTGAGTAAATTAAATTGTATACTGAATAAGAAAGTAAAGCAAAAAAATTGCAATCGGGTCAGGATATTCTTACGCATCCTAATACTCCCACTCAGAGCCGTTTTATAATTCTTAAAGCAACAATCCAGGAACGAATTCGCGGGTAAGGACCACCTATAATGACGTTGCAGGTGAGAAGTTGGTCAATGGAGAAAGAAAAAGTAGAAAAAAACGTCGGGCAGGGGCTTAGACAGGGACTCCCCCTGCCGTTTAGGGAGACGTGTGTTGGACGAGTTGTCCGAACCTGCCCGTAGTACATGCGCTCCAATTGCAACTGCTGGCAAATAGCCATGCATGCTTGCAAATACATAACTATTTGCCAGCAATCGAAATTGAAGCGCTTAAGTTGCGTTCTTCATGGAATCGACCTGATACAGCGCGGCGGTCCCGCAACGACCGCTATTCGAGCAAGCGCTCTTCACAGCAGCAAGGAGGCGGGTCAACCGAGGCTCGGTTGACCCGCCCTTTTCGACGAACTTCGAGCCCTTCTCACGCATTTCAGAGGTGAGTTTTTACTTCAGTGACAGTTCCTTTCGACTTCACTTGGGCTGGGGCATGCTTCCACACCTCAGCTTTGGATTAGTTGAAACCCTCCCTGGACTGTTGCTTTAAGTCCGTTTGAACTTATACGACTACTCGCGGTGACCACCGACGGATAGGGACAGTTTTTTACCGCCCCAGCGCTTACACTAGACCAATCACCGACCCTCAGTGGAGATGGAAGGCTTGGTTAACCTGGGCAGCGTTTGATCAGACCGCCACCACACTCGGCGATGGACAAGCGATGGAGCGATCACAATCGCTCCATCGCTTGTCCATCGCCGAGTGTGACGGCGGTCTCTCGGATTTGATACCTGGAACGTGCGCATGGTATATGGCGCCACTTGCTTGCCACACCACTTCAGTCCATTCAGTTTCGCAGCCAATTTCAAATGGCTAAGCGTTGAAGTACTCGAGAGAAGTAGTACTGACATTCACGAAAACAGCTTCAATTCATCCATGCCTTCCTTGATCACTAGATTCAGCCCTATTTGAATACAGTCTGGTAATCTTCAAGATCGCTAGCGCGGCGTTTCTAAAATAGTACATCTGACGACGTTCAAAAACTGGGCTCTCCAAGCCATTCTACTAAGTTTACGGCTTTCCTTAGTTTGAAATTCTTGTAAATGGAGAATCTGTCGACCCCCACGTCCTCTACAGTCAGTTCCACTCTCTGCACAACCCGGAATTGGATCGCAAACGATTCAAACATATTCACTATAGAGACGCTTCTGAGCAAACAGCCTGTAGAATACACGAGATACGAGGCAACTGCTGCAATAAGCGACTAAAAAGAGGCACACGGCGATTCTGAAAAAGCCAGAAATCCAAATCCAAGTGGTGTATCGGCATATGGCGCTGCTTATCAAAAGTACGGTCAGGGAATCAAATTGTGTGCCATACGCTGCCAGAACTAGGAAAAGGACTTCCATACCCTCAGGGGTCGGTTAATTGGAACCAGACTTGCTTGGGATGATAAAAGCACTGAACTGCACATCGGTTGTACACCGTAAGCCCACTGTTTTAACAGCTGATGTCAAAATGCCATCACGATTTCTGAATGGAAGCAGGATGCGTGGCGCTTCACAGAAACTGACTTTTCAACGCCGAGTGCTTCATCCTTTATCCCTTTATGCAATATAACAGTTTTCATGGTATTGTTAGTCAATTATTCGGTGTTTGCAAACGGAAAACATGCGGAACTCAAGAATGAACTGTTGACCATTGAATCTGACTTTCTACTTTTTGATTGAAAAAATCCGGACGCTGGCTTAAAAATGAACTTCTGGAAGATTATGCTGATCAGCGCTCACCCGGCATCTAATTCTGTGAAATGAAATTAGTTTCAACAATTTAAAAGTGATGATACTGCGTTTTGGCTAAAAAAAAAAACAGGAGAGCCAAAAAGTTCCATGACAATAAATTGCAAGCGCTGTCACGCTGAAAAGAGCCTGCAGACGGAATGGAACTTCGCTGAAAGGCTGTTTTGAACCTTATGCGACGGGAAGGATGCAAGAAGGAAGACGAAAAAAATTAAGTCCATCTGATTTAGGTTGTGTAGAAATGGATCGATCAACGACAATACTCTATGCTTTATTTTTTGAGATCTCTTTTTGCAATCAGGATTAACTAGTAGAGTGAATAGTAATGACTCGGCAATGATAAAAAACCACCGACATACCCATTACTGCTGGTAGGACTGTGAAGAAACGGATGAACAGTGTTGCCAAACGGCATGAACGAAAGGTCAACACCCAAATTGTCCTTCATGTCAGGACTGGACAGTGATGAAGATGGACTTCCTGACGTCGATCCGTGGTAATCTGAAACATAACAGGAAAATGTCAAGCAAACACCAAAAAATGAGTGGAAAAACAGGTGAATTTCAGCCCATTTCAACATTTCAAGGGATCCTAAATCAACAATTCGCTCCTATACCATATTGGCGACAAGATCACCGATGCTGGGCGACACCTCTAAGGATCTGGATTTGCACAGATTTCTAATTTCTAGACTATTAATCTAGATTACATCGAAGTTTCAGAGATTGCCACGTTCAGTGCTCATCCTCCATACTGAACCTTTTACCGGAGAGGATGCTAAAATGTTTCTTCGAGGTTAAAATTGGTATTTCCAAACGTATTAGGTTAGTGCAAAAGTTTTGAGCCAAAAACTTGGCAATGGATCGTCGATTCTCTACAAAAATCTTTGCCAGTGTCGTGGCCTCACCAATTCTAGAACAACCTCAGAGTTACTGCTAGCAGTATTCAAAAAGTCCCGAGAATCGGAAAGCGGATAGAAGCCGGAGGGCTACGAGCTGAGGTTTTGGGCAGTACTCGAGTTGCGACCACAACAAACGTTCGTTGCGACACAGTTCACGGGCCATGGTTATAAGAAAGTTCTTGCCTCAAATTCCGCACCAAGTGATTGATTGACATGCGTCACACGCATAGTCCTCAATTCTCCAAAGTCCGCTCGCTTCCCAAATCGGAAGGAGTTTTTGCAGGATCTGGTGACCGGGATGAGAGCTGGATCTTCTACGACAACAACAAGTGGGTCGCAGTCTGGCTCTCAAAAGGAGAAGATCCACCCGTGCAGCCCAAGCCGGGAACAGCAATCATGAGTTGCTCCCTCAAGTTCAGGCAACCACGGCTACCATTCGCGGTCGCCAGATCGAGGAACTCGCTCATGCAATCGAAGAAAAGCGACCGAGAAGGGTTAATATCCATCTTCTGCATGATAACGCTCAACCTCACGTCGCAAAGATCACGCAGTCAGGCTACAGGGGCATGGCTGGAATACCGTCCCTCACCCTCCCTATTCCCCTGACCTCGCCCCTTCTGACTATCATCTTTTTAGGCACCTCAAGCAGTTCCTGGTCAAGAAGAAGTTCGCCACTTTTGGTGACCTCAAAAATACTGTGGCTTTTTGACTCACAGTTCTTTCTTTCTGGGAGAAGGGAATAGCCGACTTGCCTGCTCGTTGGATGAATGTCATAGATAATGATGGTGATTATATAGTTTATTGAGTTAGAGTTCGAACAAAATTGACCGAGATTTCAAAATACTCATCCCAGTGTCTCAAGACTTGCACCAACCTAATAAACGGCTGCCTTTTGACTGCAGACAGCTAGCGTTATGGTACAATTTTTGACAAAAAAGAAATCAGTGTTTGAAATTATTTTCGTAAGCTAGTGGAAAATCGAAATTATTGATGGATGTCCCGGGGTTCCTCATTGGCTAGACAAGGTTCATAGTACGTGGGTGCTTCAGCATTAGGATGCATTTTTGAAAACACCGAAAGAATCGCCTGGTAGCCAAGGTATTTAGAAAAGCAAATTATATAGCTATGAAAATGTGAGGCAACCATAACATTTAGAGCAGTTTGGAACGGTGCAATTGAGAGCAAAGGTACCGCCGATATGCGTCTGTGAATACCTTATGAAGCTAGACGCATGGTATAATCACATGCATAAAACATTATAATCACTCAATTCATACAAATGAAAGCCATCATCATTCGAAAGGCCTGTTCACTCATACACACCAACCTCAATAAAATCTTTCTTCTTCGAATGCCCTTGACCGACTGCTAACACCTTCACACCGGCAGCAGCCCTTCTGGACTGCCAAATGATAATCGCCTACCAAGCGCTTATCGTAATTTTTTTTGCATATTTTTGGTAAAGGAACAATTAACATCTTACGGATTACAAAAATTAATTTGTGGTATTCATGTTTCTGTTGAGAAAGGACGCCTTCGTCATCGCTCGACGTCAATCGCTACACTCAAGGTACTTACAATGCTGCGCTCCAAACATAGAGGAAGGCGAAATGTAAAGAATTTGGGTGCTAACTTAGTTGGGGGGGGGGGGGCACGCGGCGGCGCGGCAGTCTGCTCGCCTGGCATGTTCGGAAATCCGTGGGCCAGGGGGAGTGTAGGCAGTAGGGGGGGGGGGGGGGGGTGGGGGCAGTCACTTGACATGCGTGAAAAGCTGGAATGTTCGAGTTTACACTGTCTCGCTCGAGAGAGCCCAGGTGAGCAGACTGCCGCGCCGCCGCGTGCCCCCCCCCCCCAACTAAGTTAGCACCGAATTTGTTGAGCACTCGTAAGAAAATCCAAACCCAGTAAAGCAAACGAAAATGGACCAGTTGCTCTAGTTTACCAAGACATTTTTCATTCATGTCAAATGTGGGCGTGTTAAAAGAAGCGTCATTGCCACTTTCACAGTTACCACATCAAAAGGGAATTACAACATCAATAGCTCCAGCTCTCTTACAGCGAGAGCTCCCGACTGGCATGTGTTAAATGGGCGAAAGGAGACGCTGATCATCATGAAACGGTTTTCCCAGGACTTTCTACAAACATGCTAACCCACAATGCTTCCCAAATTCTGTATAGTATTAGAAAGCGTTGCGCATACAAATCCTTGTTCAGTACCGTTCACCTAGCGTACGAAGTGTACATAGAATCCATCAGATATTTGTTGCTGAACATCGAACAGCACTGTCTGAGGATAGGCCTGTACAAATTAACTACGGCAAAACTGCAGTGTATTGCAGTGTCCCTAACATGTCGCTGATATTAATTCATAAAAAGTTCTCACAGACACGAACAGAAAAAAGCTGTCCGCACTTTTGGCGAATCC